GACCACAAAACAGACAAAGTAATAGAAAATGAAGAAGCTAAAGTGCTCTGGGACTTTAGAAGTCAAACAGACAAGAACCTGCCACACAACACCCCAGACTTAACAATTGTTGATAAGAAAGACAAAGAAATCTGGATAGTGGACATTGCAATACCTGAAGACAGCAGAAGAGAAGAGAAAGAACTGGAGAAAATTACAAAAATATAAAGACCTGCAAATAGAAGTAGAACAACTATGGCAAAAAAAACCCCCAGAGATAGTACCCATAGTAGTAGGTGCCTTAGGTGCAATCCCAAAACATTTTGGCATTGACAAAATCACCATCAGTCAATTGCAAAAGGCAGCTTTACTTGGAACAGCATACATCCTGCAACTATACCTTTAACACCAGCAAACAATAACATCTGCCTATCCCACGTCCTTGGGAAGGACTTGATAGGTGGATAAAAATGCCAAATCCAGTCTGAACAACTGGCTGACTATGCAACCAACAATAATAATTTTAAGCAGCCACCTCAGAGCTGGAATAAGGAGAGATATGGATTAGCTCCTTATTTACAACCCACCACTGAATAATTCTTATTGTGTTTCCCAACTGATATCATGTAGCTAGATGATTTATTTCACATCTGCAGTTAGTTTTCCAAAAAAAGCAGAATTACATAGAATTTTAATGATATTAAAGTACTGCTTTATTTTGGAAGTGAATATTCATATAAAAGGATTCACTGGTTTGATCTAAAGAACATGAAACCATGTCATTGTCTGACTTAGTCTTTGTACATCAAACAGATTTTTCCCTGCATAGACCACTTTTTTCCCAGCCTGCTAGCAAAGTGAAGCAGCTATTTATGAGTGCAGATATGGAGAAGATCTGGGAAATGGAATGGCTACTGCCATTTAATTTGGCATCTTACAAGATCTGATGGAGCAACCTTATAGTTTCATAGTCATATTTTCCTCTGCTACATTGTGATGGAATTCCTTATCCAATAATAGGTTCCTATATTTAACGTTAGGCAATTGCTACCGTATGAAGAAATCGCAGATTAATGTGTTTAGAATTGGACTTCATATGGAAGCAAAATTGTACAATTTCACATAACCAAATAACCAGTTATGGCTATTGTCATCACTTAAATAATTTCCCCTGGTTTTACTGCTACAGAATTAAGATTCTGATCATTCAGAATAAATTCTGAGACAACTGGTCCTAAAATTGGTTTCCTAATCACAGTCTAAATATTATGTAAATTTAGTGCCAGTCATCTTTTGGAGAAACATCAGGGTCTTTTTTGTTTTGCATTTTTTAAAAATAGATTGGTGATGTACATAGAAAGGGACAGCAGAAAAGCTACACCAGGAAAAGAGCAGCAAAGCAACAATGAATACCTGTCAAGATGCCTGGATCTTCTCATCTATCACATTGTGCAAGAGCTGCCACTACTTCTAGGTAAATTCTGTTGCTTTAATATAAAATAGCGTCCCCTTTTGTTTTTTATGTGTTTTCTTTCAAATGCTTCAGAATAGTACCTGGAAAACCTTTCAGTATTGACACTGGCAATGGACCACAGATATTCCCCATATCCCAACTTTCAACGCAAGCAAGTGCAAAGTGATGCCCATTGATGCCAAAAATCCTAACTACTCATACAGACTAATGGGATCAGAGGATTTTGGAGTAATGGTAAACAGTTCAGTAAAGTTATTGATACAGTGGGTGTCTGCTGTACAAAAAGCCAACAGCATGTTAGGAATAATAACTGGTGTTAAAAATACAGATGCCAGTATCATAATGCCTTTATGGTGCGATTGCATCTGGAACATTGTGTGTAGTTCTGATCACCGCAATTCATAAAGCATATAGTGATGGCACAGTGGAGGGTGACTAAGATGATGAAAGGTCTGGAGCAGCTTCTCTATGAGGAAAGGTGGCAACAACTGGGGCTTTTTAGTCTAGAAAGGAGGCAAATGAAAGGGAACTTGATTCAGGTGTAGAAAATTATGCATGGTGTGGATAAAGTGGGTAAGGAAAAGGTATTTTCCCTTTCCCAAAGTATTAGAACCAGAGATCACCCAATGAAATTAAATCCCGGAAGATAAAAGGACAGATAAAAGGAAATATGTTTCTACAGAATACATAATTAAACTTTGAAATTCACTACCACAATATGTGGTGTTAGCTACCAGCTTGGCTGGCTCCCAAAAACATGTTGAACCAATTCATGGAAGTCATGGGGATCAGTGGCTATTAGCCTTGATGGCACTGTGACTACCTCTGAAGACCATCTTCTGGGAGACTGGCAGGCTTCCTTGTGCAATTGATTGGCCTCTGTGAGAACAGACTTCTGGACTAGATGGGCCAGGGGTCCAATCCAGCAGGGCATTGCTTATGTTCTTATATTTCTCTCTCAACCTTATATGTGTCTTGAGTGCACGATACACCTAGCAAGTATGTGATACGCATGCAGCTTCTTCTGTCCAGCTAATTGGGAATGATTTAAAATGAAGCTAGTGCACAGAATAATTCTTGCTGCATCTAGCTTCCCCATTTAAATTGTATTTTGGACATGTTACCAACTCAGTGAGAGGGACATCCCCATTCACTTTTCTAGCTCAATTACACTCTCCCAAGCTTGCCAAGCAACTCTGAGTTCAGCTTTGGGAGAATATGCAGATGGAGAAAGGAGAGGAAAGTTACCAATATGTGCTGTAGAGAATTACAAGATATATGCTACTTCAAGTTTAGATTCTGAGAACAGCAATGATAATTAAATTAGTAGCAGTAGGAAAAGAATAATGCTGTAATACAGAAGTAACAATCTGAGGTTGCAAAGTAACAAGTGGAGGTTTCAGAGAATATACAATTCCCAAATCCATTTTTTTGCATGCTGGAAGGTATCTAATTAATGCCTGAAAATTGATTCCATTATTTCTTATCTATGATGGACTGGAATGGAGGAAGGGGGGTGAAAACGGTGCTCTCGT